GGGCTGGAGAACGACCTGAAGAAGTGGCTGCAGATTACATCTACTAGCATATTTAGCTACTTCATTGTCTCGGTTGCTTCCGACAGTGAAGCGAAGAACAACTTGAAAACTCTGAGGTGCATCAGTGACCTTGAAGCAGACACAGAGCCCAGCCAAAGCTTTAAAGTCCTCCATCACTGAGCTTGGGTTAATTGCAGAGAAAATTGTAATATTGAAGATGAACAAATCCTATAATGCTGTGCCCTCCATACACTTGAAATCATGTTGTCTCACTGTTTTCAATCCTTCTGAGGATCCGGCGTCTCTTCTCCGGTGGTTTATTGTAGTCCAGCCACAAAGTAGGATGCAAGTTTTCCTGTCGGCTGTTTGTCAACAGAGTGAAATGAGTTCACATACAGCGTTTTGTGTGGTCTCTTCAAGTTTAGATTTTTCAGCCACGTTCTTCTTAATTCCTCATCTGTAGGTAGGAGATGGAAACTATACCTCTTTTCACAGGAACACTCATTGTTTTGGTTCTGTGTTCAAAACCCTGATTTAGTTTGGTCTGGTTGTTCTGCAATCGCAAACATCACAACAGGTACCTGAACTCAGCACGGCAAACTTTACATTCGTTAAATAAATGTGAACAAAACAATAACAGCGTTTTATCTGCTAAACTGAATGCAAATTACTTTAAAATAAACTGCGGTCCGTGCTCAGCTACCATGGTTAACCAATGCTTACTGCTACTTCCTGTCTGACAGGAAGTTGTGCACATAATCATTTATACAGTAGAGCTCCCAGGATTAAGGTGGATAGAAGTCCTGTTCTGCAGGAGAAGAGCTTCATCATCGTTAAAGCATGTCCAAATCAAGGACAGAGGATGTAATATATGGTTTAAACACATTAAGTTTTGTCTTGTGTTTGTTAGCAAAATATCTCATGAACCACTACATAGATTTTGATTATTTTTTCTGGATGTGTATTGGATTTATATGCAACTGATTAACCTTTAGTCAGCCCCAATTTAGGATGACTGCTGCAGCTCAGCAACATTAGCATACACAGAAATGGCCACAATTCAGTCCGTTTCACAAATAAGATTTGGTGAGGCAGTATGGAGTCATTCATACTCGTAGCGCTGATACGTTTTAAAAACTTTGGCATTAACTGCCAAGTCATTAATTTCGGTTAGCGAAGTATCTCAACTACAAAAACAAACTTTAAATAAACTTTCAAAAGGTAAACGTTGGCTGTACATCTACAGCGGATTACCTTTTGAAGTTAACTCTATTCACATGTTGTTGGCATCTACTCAATTAGCAAAATGTCTCATGAACCAGAGGACAGATTTTAAGTAAACATGATAGCATGCACATTTGCACTTGAATCTGAATTTATATTTGGGACTTGTTACTTTTCTTTTGTATAGTGTTCTGAGATGACTTTTGTTGTGAATTGGCGCTGTATAATAAACTGAACTGACTTGTATCTAGCAGTCCCTCGTTACTTGGCGGTTTGACTTTCGCGGACTCGCTCTTTCACAGTTTTTCAAAGTGAGATTGGACATGACTCACAATTGGCTGATAAATGGATGAGCTGCAAGACCGGCATGGATTTTTTAAATTTAAAATAAATCATTCTAAATTATTTAGCAACTGCTGCACCTGTGTGCAGCCCACAGGTGCAGGGAGAAGCTGCCTCCTGCAGAATCAGTGTTGCCAGGTGAGAAATGTAGGATTATCGTACTAGAGACATAAAATTATCATATTTTGAGGTACATTATCATACACCCATTATTACCAAAATAACAAATCTATTGATACACTATAGTAGTGACTGGTCCGCTTCCAGACCGACTCTGCTTCTTCTTCTTTTCTTTTCCTCACTCATGGGGCGGACGCAGCGGACTATTCAACCAATCATGGCCGTTGTTCTGAGGCAAACGCATACACGTCGAGAAGGGGTTCTCTCAAGTAGGTATCTCTACAGACAAATTCGGAAGGTGAATCTGGGGGGCCACACCTGATTGGACGAGGCGTATCCGGGGGGCTATATCTGATTGGACTATAGGAAAATGGGCGTGTCTAGCGGGCCACATCTGATTAGACAAAAAAAAGGCTGAACAAAAAAAAAAGCCGTTTGTGTTAACCACAGACACTTTATGTCTAAAAACAAGGCGTTATTGGCAGATTGTGTTAACCACAGGCATATTATGTCTATGGTGTTAACCGGTTCGACATTAGCAGCGTCTCCATAACTTCTCTTTCCACCTCTTTTAACACAGAACTTCCGGTTACATTTCAAAATAAGAGCAACATAAATGTGTAGTGCGGAGGGCTATGTTTGTTTTTTAATACCTAGCCATTACATTAAAAAACAAAATCCATTTTGGTTGTTAAAAAATGTGAAAATAGTTACAATCGATTCATAAAGAAAGAAAAATAAAATAACCAAAATAATAATGATACTTAAACTGAAGTTTCCTTTAACTTCACATTTTCTTGTTCAACCTTTTAAATCAGTCACTGCAGATGAGTGATTGTCAGTTTCTGCAACTGGAGCAGATATTTCTGTTTACTGGTTAAATTCCTCAGCTGTCTCACATTTTAAGGGTCAATCCTACTCCATGTTTCAGCTCCTTTCAAAGATCAGATCTCATAGAAGAACTTCTAAAGAGCAAATTTTGTTTTTAGCTTTTGTTTTGGGCCATTATGTCATTACAGGACTCATGATCTTTAATTGAGACCAGACTTTTTGGACAAATAGGAGCAGGTTTCGCTTCAGATGCTTCACATTTCATTGTACCCAGATCACACTCAAGGCAGCCTGTGTCAGGTGCAGCCTACAACCCAAAAAGAGAATCTTCTTGTGTTTAACAGCAGATGTAACACTGGTTCTTAGAAACTTTCAGTTTTAAAAAAGAGCTGATATAACTTACCTAAAGAGCAGCAAATACAGCTAGCTGTATTTGCTGCTCTTTCAAGTAGATATCTCTGTAAGTTATGTCAGCTCTTTTTTAAAACTGAAGGTTTCTAAGAAACAGTGTTACATCTGCTGTTAAACACAAGAAGATTCAGCTAATTGATGTTAATCAATACAAAAATGGCAGTAATCAAATTTACCGTTATCGTGTTAAAGTTTAATGTGGAAGAAGCCGATGGCAACACATACTCCACCTAATAGATTCTGTGAGATCACACATTACATCATTTGCAGGTTTTGCTAAAAACAGCTAGAAATCTGTTCCTTCTCGGCATCAGATGAGCTTGACACTGTGTGAACGTCAGTGGATGATCTGCATCCCTTCAAGTGCCAGGCCTTTAGCTTAAATACAAATACACTGAAGATTTTCAGTCATCCAGGACATGGTAAATTCAAAAAAGTTCAAGACAAAAACAACTGGACTTTATTTGCAACTGAAGACGTTTCGCTTCTTATCCGAGCTTTCTCAATTTCAAGAACAGAGTGTGGGGTTCCAGTTATAAAGCTGATGTAAGATACATATACAGTATATGCAGATTGCCCTATCGCTCCTCACAGTAGTGTTTCGTTAGGGTCTTTGTTAGTCTGACTCACAGAGAGAACCACTCTGATGGATGAAATTACTGATAGGAGTGAAAATGACTGGGTATCAGGCCTAAAGCTGCATTATAAGTTTTAGAAAGTTGAAATCTGAGACGTCCTCTGTTCAAAGACAGTTTCTCTTTAGCTTCCTTCACCCTCCTCTCAAACCATCTGTCTTCTCAGTCCAAAACGTGAACATTTTGGTGCTCAAATGAGTGTCCCTAGCTTATGGTAAACGGACTGTACTTGTATATCTTATCAAGAGACAAAGCGCTTTACACACTCAGTGCATTCAGCACTCTACTAGACCTTTACAAAGAATAATCAGTTCTTTTATCACATTCATACACTGATGGGACACACTTGGGAGGCAATGAGGGGCTCAGTGTCTTGTCCAGAGACACTTCGGCATGTGACTGCTGGTGGAATCGAACCCACAACTCTTGCATTGGAGGACGACTGCTCTAACCATTCAGCCACAGCCGCCCCATTTATATAGTAATTTTATGTTGAAATGTTTTTTTTTTAAAGACAGGGTCTACCAGCAGATGCATGCCATTTCAAGTGAACTATACATGGGACAGTTATCACAAAACTATTTTAGATTTCAAATCTGATTGTTACACGTTGCTGGAAGAAGACAGACAGAAAAAAAATAAAAATAAAAAAATCAATGCAGCCTGAAAAGAGGCCTCAAGCTTCAGTGGAAAGCGTCGATACTAAGCAGCGCTCAAAGCACTTAAAATGTAAATGCCTTTTCCAATAGCAACAAAAAAAGCAACAAGAAAGCAGTACGAGTGTCTTGGGATCTCTCTGGTAGTAGTGTTGATCAGGGAAAGTCTCTGCGGAGACGCAGTGGACTGAACTCCCATGTTCCCCCTGAAGTGTTAAGACAGTGATGCATTGCAACAAAATGAAACAATGCCCTGCAGGCTCCCGTCCTCTGTAGCAGCGCCTGGCTGCGCTTTAGCTGTCACACTTGACTAGATGAAAAAGGAAATGATCTACTTTTTGCATTCACCCCCATCGTGCTGTGTATTGTGACATTCTGCAGGAAGCGCCATGGTTAACTCTAGAAACATAAAATTACTTAATGGGGTCTCAACTAATCTCAGCAAAAGTGCATGCTATAAATATCTTCAAACTAATTGAGAGCACAGCAGGTTAACCAACTAATTTTATGCATGGACTGTTACATTTCCCAATTTAACATCTACTGTAAAAATGTTCTACCTTTTTAGTTTGCTTTGAAGTACATATTCTAACCTCACAACCTTGGAAAAATAATTCAGTTGAAAAAGATTTAAACCAATCTTGTGCTGAATATCACTCAAATGTTAGAGGCCCAAAATTCAACATTCGTCTTTATTTGGAACAGTCCAAGAAAACAGTCCAAGAAAACAGGCAATATGAAGAATAGTTCATAAAGGTTTACTTTTTCATTATATAGGATGCAAAAAGGAGACAAGAATATATAATAGTATCAATTAAGGTCACTGTAATCGAACATAACTCTTGCAGAGTTCATGGTCCCTGATGTCTCCCCAGCCACCGTTTTTAACATGTGGGGCCACCCCTCCGGCCCCACTGGCTGGCAGTCTCTTTGTAATCAAGAGGTTTTTGGGGAACAGCTGGTTCCCACTGCTTTGTAGGATGTTCTCAATCTTGATTTTCTGGCTGACGGGCATGCAGGCTGCCTTCTTGTGGTGCATGCCACAGTCTCCTGCGTGGAAAATCCGAGGCGCTTCGCTCACCATGACCTTCCAGTAGGAGGGCAGGCAGGACACGGTGAGGTGCTGCAAGGACCAGTCCCAGTTGTAGTCGTCGTAAGTGCAGAACGTGTCTGTGCACTGGAAGAGCTTCTGGTACGTGTCTCTGCTTAGAGCCATCCCCATGTTGTGCTCCGTGGACTTCCAGGCTTTCACCTCCACCTTGTTGGCTTTACTGGAGTAGCCGATGTGGCTGTAGCTCCCCAGTGAAAGGATGTCACAGTCGGCACACTGCTCCCGTTTGAGAGCTCTCATCAGCTTTAGGAGATGAACGAAGTCTGGAGACAAGTAGTGGTCCTCCTCAATTAAAAGAACCAGGCCTTGGTGGTCTTTAAGAACATGGACTCTGTCCCACACAAAGTGCAGCTTCCACCACCAGTGGTGTTTGGTCTGGGAGAACTTGGCCTCCCGGTAGTGGCCGAAGGAGTCTGGATACTCTGCGTTGATGCAGCCAAGCTTTAAGGCGTCTTTTTTGGGAATGTCTCTGGGGCAGTCCCGGGGGTCATTTCCTGGGAATTCTTGTGGGTACAGCTGAATGCTGAAGGGGAAGAAAATCTGAAGAACTTGACAGAAGTCAACAGAGGCCACCACTTTATTAATCTCTGGGGACCAGTAATCATGGCTGAATATCAGCAAAATGCTCTCCACACCTCTGGCCTTTCGCAGACTATCCACTAACAGTTTGAGGTAGTCGGGTCGATTATGAACCTGAACTACCACAACCAGATCGTCTTTGTGTCGGTTTTTCTTAAACTTTTCTTCGTTTCTTATCGTCTGGTCAAAATTCAGTTGGAAGACAATGCCACGGTAGACTAAAGTGGCATTGTCTACCTCCAGCTTTGTCAATTTGCCTTTGTCTTTTGCTTTTTCCTGGTGCGTGTCATTTGCCTGAATAGGTGGTGGAGCAGGGGCCCGGCTAACTGCAGCAGTAGCTTGCACCTGGAGATGACTGTGGACACTACTGCTGCTGCTGCTCCTCTTCACTGTCTCCAGTTCCTTGGGGAATGAGCCACTTTCGTTCTTTTGCCTGCTGCTGCTCCAGAAAGCTAGGCCACAGATGACAACCACCAGAGTCAGTATCACCACCTTCCTCTTGTAGATTCGGAATCTCATGATAAAGGATCAGCCTGTTGTAAAAAGATGGAAGTAGACTGTAAAAAAATTAAATGAAAACAACCACAACAAGAAAAAGAACTACTGTAATAAAATACCTGTACTGGTTTGCTTGTGCTTTGAACAATGAAAAAGTGATTTAAAAAAAAACCTGATGAGAGGTTAGTTGTTGGCAAAAAATAACTGTTGCTGTAAACACTGATCCTGTTGGAATGTCATAGATGGTTGGTGAATCTTCCATAAGGCATGGTGGTTGCTGGGGAGGCAGTGTACATAATCCACCTGAATAAAAAAACAAACAGGAAACGGTTTTAAACCATGTGCAATATAGTTAAAAACTGTCCAACTGATAACAGTGATCCTTTACCATTGTCTGAAAACACCAGTTTGATTAAAATTAATAAGTGATGCACATTATACAAGGAGTCAAGTTATATATTTCCACATCACCCAAAGCTAAAGAAAATAAAAATCAAAACTATTCGTTCACATCACAAACACAGTATGCATGCACGGCAGCAAAAATCAGACGTTTACATAGGATAGATGTAACAGGTTGCACAGGTCTAAAAAAAAGTGTTTGTGCTTTCGAGATGCGGAACAGTCCCTTGGTACTTCATGGTTCGACTTTCGTGGACTCACTGTTTCGTGGGTTTTCTACACAAGATTGTATACAGCATACGATTGGCTGATTGATGGAAGACGACCAACCACAGCATTGTGCTCTGTGTCCCGGGCGCTGATTGTCTCAGTAACCATAGCATCGGTCTGTCTGCTCTCTTTTGCTGTGCTCTTTTAGAGACTTTAGAGCACATACGCCAAACGTGGCCCTTGTTGACATCTTATCTAGCCCCCAAGATGATATACATAAAATACTTTTTTTCACTTGAATTTTTTTTCAGTATTCTTTGATTATGACGTCAAAAGTGCAACAGAGAATGTCTATGAGACCAATCAAACTATTTTTAGGAACCTGCAACCAAGAAAATATGTTGGGTACCTAACTTGAGTCAATGTAGATTCTGAAACGGGCCCTTAGTTTGAAAATGTTTTCATTTTGGCCCTCTTTCGTAAGTGAGTTTGACACCCCTGCTTTAGAGAGTTTAGAGCATTGTTAAGAACATTGCAAGAGTGTGGGAAGGGTCTTAATATATAAAGTTTTATATATATATTTGTTTGTTTAAACTGCTATTGTTCAGCGTATTGTTTTTGTACTATTTGTGCTTAGTGTATTCTTAGTTTTAGCATATTTCTTAGTTCATATCTTAGATCTTATTACTGTTTTTCTTTACAATTTATACTTTTGTTGGATGTAACTTGGACCCTGTGTACATAATTTCATTCCAGCACATATATTACATGTGGTGCGAATAACAATAAAGAACCTTGGCTTGATAAATACTAAAATAAATATAACGTCCCTACTTCGTGGATTTTCACCTATCTGTGTCTGGAACATAACCCCTGTGATAAGTGAGGGACTAGTGTACATGAAGTACCTTCAGCACCAACTATTTTGTCACGATGGACCTTAATGAAGAGGATCATCAACACGTAGTGTGTGTTTTGACTCATTCTTTAAATAAAAATAAAAATAAAACGTGCACAGTAAATTTTGGGCTTTGTAAAAACGTAAAATTTGAGCTAAATTAAGTTAACATAAAACTGCCTTTTTTTCCTGTGTAAATTGTTTTCTTACTGGACTCACATTCTCACAGATATTTTTCAATTTCATCTCAATCAGGGATGAGCAGAAAATGCTAACGTTGACTCTTGTATTGATGTATTAATATTCTTGTAAATTCTGATTATTGAAAGTGCAAACAGCAGCAGCAGGTAGTTATAGCATTTCTGGTGCAGACTGGGTGCTTCTGGTAGGAATATCAACATTTCTCCTAAAATAACTGTGTAATGTGAAATTTAAAATGATGCATGCAATAGTTTATACAACTGTGTTTGCATGAAGCCGTACAACGTTTATAAGATTGGAGTTATTTAAAAGCTTCACCCACTTTTCTACAGGGAAGATGTTAATTCCTCTGAAACACACTCAGTTTTAAACTGACTGTTCATTTACAGCCTTAACAACTGCAGTCCTATCTGGTATTAAATCTGTCACAATGTTAAATTGATTTGTTTCCAAGATAACGAATTATTATTTTATTTCGATATACAGACCACTGCCGTGTAAAAGTCCTAGCCCTTTAACATTCCTCTTCATCACCCAAAGCCACCAGGTAGCAGGCAGCCGTGTAACCGATCCTAAATTTATTCTGCAGCTTGAAACAACTTGGCAAGATTCAGAAGACTGGTTTTTTTTAAAGATGGCTTGTTTCTACCTGAGAGCCCCAAGGTTTAGGTTAAGATCAAGCGATACCAATACAGGAAGATTTCACTTGCATTTCATTTTACCTGCTTAAACTGACATCTACAGACTACGGTGGTCAGTAGGTTTAAATTAAATGCCAGCTAGGACTAGAAAAAACAATTTATTAACGTCTTTCCTGCAAAAGTACTGCTTAATTGAGAAATAAATTAGGACCCAGTTCCATGTTAATAGAAATGCACACCCACCTCATATATATATATTTATACATTTAGGACTGAACAGTGTACATTTTCAGGCATTATTGATGCACTATAGCTTTGACGTTAAATGAAAATATGATGGTACAAAAAATAAAAATCTGCATAAGAATGAGGAATAAAGTTCTCTCAGTCTTTTCTATGTAATTTCCACAGGACACGTTACTGATCTACAACCTTTTTGCCCCATCCTCTTTTAGAATTAGACTGCATTTATGTGTATTTTTATAGAACATAACCCAATATCTCCTTGTTTTCCCCTGCAATACTTCCTGTGCTTAATCACATGATTAGTATTGATTGAGCCTTTCCTTTCAGACCTGCAGAACTCCCATATTTTATTTATTATTAAATTAGTCATACTTCCATCTGCCTGATCAGCACACCATCAGGATTAAACTTGAATATGTGCACTGGAAAAAAAAAATCCGTAAAAACCATAAAATGTTCAAACCGTGATGATACTAGAAAAGTGCTCATAAATAAAAGACACGACGTGCTACTAAAAGAAGGTAGTTTGTTCAACTATGATGCTAAACTACGTGTTCGTGTCTTTATTTTATAGTCGGCCCGAGTTTAATTATATCCACACACTTACAGCTTGTAAGATTAGCTGTAAATATTACATTTTTGGTAATTTTTTTGACCATTTTAACAGGCTGAACCGCTTTTTTCTACTCCCATGTCTGCCATGTTTCCACACTCGTAAATTTGCCTACAACCCCATTAACATCCAACTGGCCGCTAGCTGTCAAACCGAGCTAACAGCGGCTCGGGTGTCGAGCTTCCCCTCGTCTATTGCTGCAGAGTAATTAGGCAAACTTGAACAAAATGCACTCACGGCTACTGTGAAAACAACCAGCAGACATTTTCGCCTCGGTTCGCCATGAGCGCGAGCGTCACTGAACGCGGTATGCTAGCGGTATGCTAGCAGTATGCTAGCGGTATGCTAGCCACGGCTGCAGCTAACAACTTCCAGGCTGCCGCCCGCTCGCCCGCCAGCCCTGCCCGAGCCAGGCTCGTCAACAGCGGCGAGCAAGACGGGGAACACCCGCTGAGATCACGAGCACTTACCTAAAACTACACGGGTCCTGCGGTCCCTTCACGGTGACACGTTATTACTGTGGTGTCCCATCCTGCTCTTAACCTTCCAGCAAGCTGCATGGAAGAGAAAATGACGGCTAGATGGAAAAAAAATAAATATAAAATATCACAAAAAACAAGAACCACCGCCTCCTGTTGTCCAACTATATTAGTCCAGTGGGGGGCACACCAGGCCGCTTTTATATTGTTCTACTTAAAACATCCTCGGTCCTACTGCTGCACAGTTTGTAAACCTTTCCCTGTCGGTTTTTGTAGATTTAAATAGAAAAACAACACAAGTTCACCCTTTTTTTTTAATGTGTTTAATTTTAGAACAGGTGCATTTAAGCTGAGCTTCTACCGCTTTAAAGGTACTTATTGTAGATTAAAGTTTATCCTGAATTTATGGACACATTAATATGAGAAAACATATTGTGCAGATTATTTTTCTTACTTTACAAGGTTGTTTTTTTTTCAGTTGACTTTGCAATGATTCCCTTTAATACTATCATTTAACAATTTATTTTTGGGATAAGGATAATAGTCATAAATAAGAAAATATATTCAAAGATATTCTGTTTTCATATTTTGTTGTTGAAATCCATCCATCATCTTTACCCACTTCTTCCTTTTCAGGTCACGAAGGTCACTGGTGCCCATATCCAACCGTCACTGTGTGAAAGGCAGGGGACATCCTGGACAGGTCTCCAGTCCATCACAGGGACACATAGAGACAAATGAGACAAACAACCATTCACGCTCTCACTCACACCTAGAGACAATTTAGAGTTACAGTCTAAAATGCACATTTTTGGTCTGTGAGAGGAAACTGGAGTACCTGGAGAAAACCCACGCATGCACAGAGAGAACATGCAAACTCCACTCTGAGTGGCCCCCGGCTGGGATTTGATCTGGCGACCTTCTCACTGAGAGGCAACAACTCTACCGGCTGCACCACCGTGCTGCTGTTGTAGAAGTCTGCAACAGCGTTACAAAGAATAGGTTATTCATTTTCCAATTTGCTGAATCAATCCCAACATTAATTCCTTTGGGAGGCTGTGACCTGTGAACAAATACAACCCAGTGATTGGCAGAGAATAACCACCCTTCAAGAATAGAACAGAGAACACATTCAGTACTTAAAAAACTATTGCTTTGACAATAAAAAAACAACACTCCTTTAAAAATCTAATAAAATTACGTCAGGTAGACTGAATAAGTCTTTTGCATAAAAGACGACATGTTTCAACAAGAAGAATTTGTCCAGAGGATCTGACTTAACCTTGTTAGATTCATCTATCTGGATTATTGAGCATACATCAGAACTCCTTTAAAAACTGAGAAAAATATACAAGAAAGCAATACATTAGTTTTGCAATACTTAACAAAATCACTTGAAAGAGATTTTAAAAGTAATTTGATTGACAAAAGGTCAGAAAATATATATAAGAACAACATTCCAGAGTGCCCAGAGTGGCTGAGGTTGTGTGTACTAATCCAAGAAGATGTTTATGCATTTTTGAGTTTTATATCTTAGTAAAATTTAATAATAGTAATAATAATAATACATAATTGAATTGGAGGGTTGTACAACTTTTACAGGCTGTTGCAAGTCATTAAAATTCCAATTAAAAAGAATAATTAAATAATATTTGGTAAACTTTTACTGTAATATTGGAGCTTCTGTTTATTTTTAACCAGTAGGAGGCGCTGTCAAAATAAAAAAAAATCTTTGTTTGCCGGAAACATTTTCTGCGCATGCGCGTGCGCCTTTTCCTCCTTTCCGACGCTCGAGCGAAAAGAGACAAGATGGGCCATCAGCAGCTCTACTGGAGTCACCCTAGAAAATTCGGACAGGGATCCCGCTCCTGGTCAGTGTTGATCTCATCGTGTCGATTATTGACTAATAAACAAGTTCGAGTTATATTTGTGCTTTTGTCCATTTTATATCGGTTAGAAAAAAATGATGAAAGCTGCACCGCATGGGCCGTAAGCCGGAACCAATATGGCGGTATAAGATGAACTTAGCTTAAATTAGCATTATTGTTAGCGAATAGAACATCTGTTTTCTTAATAAGCGCAACTCTATAAACTATATAGGATTATTAAAATCTTTTAACTTGTCTGTCGCTTCAGGAAATGTATTGCACTTGGTGTTAATAGTTGGTATCCTCAGATACCGACCACAGAAGACATTTGACATTACAGCTCATTAATGTTCTTGTTCTAATTTCAGCCGAGTGTGCTCAAACAGACACGGTTTGATCCGTAAGTACGGACTCAACATGTGCCGCCAGTGCTTCAGGCAGTACGCCAAAGACATCGGCTTTGTTAAGGTGAGTAATCTCATTAATAAAATAAATTAAGATGTCATGTTTTTTAATGTCTTCATGTCTCTTGTCTAGTATGGATGTTTGTGTTCCTACCGACTGAAACAAATTGCCCCATGGAGATAATAAAGATTCTTGAACTTGAGCTCAATTTTATAAATTTGCTGTAGTTACAATTTTGTTAACTTCTATGTATGAGAGACTCATGTTAGTGATGAAGCCTACATATTTGTTTTATATTTTTGCATAGTTTAGTAATTATGGTTTTTGATCATTTATACTTTAATCCTTAAAGAGCACGAAAGCTTAGACAAATTATTCTGAATGATGGTTATTGCTAATATATATATTGTTTTGTTCTTTTGTACAGCTGGATTAAATGTCCTGCGCTGACGTCCTCGCATGGTGTTAAGGGATCATTGGAAGCCTGGCCAAGATGGAAAACATTTAACAATGCGCTAATAAATGTTCTTTTTTGTCCAACTTCACTGAGCTGTGTGATTATTCAGGTCTGACGATAATTATTAATATGTTTACAAAAATATAAGTTTGTCACTGAAAAGAACGACATATTTCAGCTAACACCATTTGATTCTTCTTTTGGTTAGCAGTCTAAAAAAAAAAAAAAAACAAGTTGGAATTTTAGGGTTAAAATGTGACAGAGTGGTCAATTTCTATTTTCTGAGCTGTTCAGTGAGAAGTCGTGCAGGGTGAATAATAGTCCCACTCCCAGCTGTAGGTCATGATGGAAGAATAAAAAACTTTTGGCATGAAGTGAGTAATTGAAGTCAGCGTGCCCTCACGTTTAAGGACAGGTAACATGCAGAGACGTTATTCTGTCGCTGTGATCTGAGAAGTCTCCTGCAGTGAGGCTAATTGTGCAGCTGACCAAATTTGAATAAGGTCACAAGTTCCTCTGACAGGTGGATTTTCATGTACCAAATAAAAGTTGACAGCATTTTTCATGCAACTTTTAAAATTGTATCTAAAGTAAAACACTAGATGGCAGCAACACCCAGAGCAACAATAAGTTATTTAGACAGGTGGGTTTTGAATCTTTGGTCTTTAAAGGTTGTTTTCATGATTAATCATGAAGGTTGCATTTGGCAAAACTAAAATGTATGAAATTAACAAAGGGAAAGTTATGATGTCAAAGCTTACATTAGTTAAAGCACCTAAATATCCTGCAGCAGTTATCGTGTGAGGAAGTAAAGTACCAGATGTCAAGATTCTCCAGTAGTTTTTCACCTGATCAAAGTATTACCTGTTCGCAGCTGATTTAAACTTTTTAACACCCCTCAAAACTTTAATTTTTTTTTTCAACATAGGCCTCATTTGTAAAATTAAAGGAACCAATTTCCACAATGCAAAAGAACGCTGTGGTGCTTTTAGGTGTCTGCTCCTGGTGTAAGTAGGAATTATTAACCAAAACCCAGCAGGGAACAAGTTCAGGAAGAACATCAAAGCCACCTGAAGATGGCTTAATAAAATATACAGCAGCTGAAGAGGAAAACAATGGTTTCTAAATTAAAAAGACTACATGTAGAAATGCACAAAAATTGCTCCAAGATGCAAAGTTGAACCCCATCATGTACCGCAGGTGTCTGCAACCTGCGGCTCTTTCAAGCTTTGACCAAAACTAACATAAAACTGAATTTTATTGGTTGTTGAAACAAACGACAAAAAAGGACTACCAGTAGTTTTAGCAGTTTTCCTGTCTTTTGCTGGAACATGTACAAGAAGTAAAACCTAGTTACTTTAACTTGATGCTTTATTTCTATACTTTATTTTCCCACAACAAACAAACAAAAAAATACATAGGTCTGCATAGTTCATAGTTTCATAGTTTTTAGTAAAAAGATCCCCCCACACACACACACAAGAATCTGGTCTTTTCATTTGTCTTAGATTATAAAATTTAAATTATTAGATATTTTTTTAGCTTTATAATGTCACCCCTAATGGACACAAAAGCCCCCTCCAACAAGCCTAAAGTGGCCCACGGGCCACCACTTGATAATCACAGCAGGTTGTTGTGGCTCTGATCACATTTAATTTAATGAACGGAGGCGCAAAATGGCTCTTTTGATCACAAAGGTTGCAGACCCCTGATCTACTGTAATCTAAATCTAGACTTCAAACGCAGTGACTGCAGAATGACCTCAGACTCAAAACTGAAGGTCTTTTCAGCGTTTGAGCAAACAAAATCCAGCAGAACGTCAGCTGACTACAATGGTAAAGGAAAGGTTTAGCAGAAGGAATGCACGTCACTGATCATCTCCATGCCAGAGTTGTAGAAAAAGACCGTCTTCTTGTTTGTTAAATACTAAATTTGTAGTCGTTTTGGTCAAACATTGAAATTATTACACAATCTCATCCAGTGAGACGTCATTCAGTTCACTTTATTTATTTAGCACCAAGTCACAACAGAAGTCATCTCAGGTCACTGAACAGAAACATTCACGTACATAAAAATCAGTTATTAACGTCCACAAACAAGGTGTACCTTTAAGACCTATTGTTAGCATGATTAACTCTGTCACTTACAATGTTTCCAAATATCTGACGTCTGTACTCATCCCTTTAGTTGGCAGCTCAGAACACCACATACAGAACACCATGGACTTTGTGGACAAGGTGAGGGATGTCATCATGGAGACTGATGAAACAATGGTCTCTTTTGATGTCACATCACTCTTTACGTGCATTCCTGTTGATGATGCAGTAGAGGTGGTCAGTTTAAAATTAAAATCAGACACCACTCTGAGCAGCAGGACCACACTTTCCACAGAACAACTGTGTCAACTCTTGAAACTGTGCCTGCAGTCAACCTACTTCACATATGGGGAGCAATATTATAGGCAGAAACATGGGTGTGCTATGGGGTCTCCAGTTTCTCCTATTGTTGCCAACCTGTACATGGAGGAGGTAGAAAAGAGAGCCTTGACGTCCTTTTCAGGGACACCACCAAGTCATTGGTTCAGGTATGTTGATGACACCTGGGTTAAAATTAAATCTCAGGAAGTCCAACATTTTACTGACCACATCAACTCTGTGGATAAATACATCAAGTTCACACGAGAAGATGTAAAAAATGGCAAGTTGGCTTTCTTGGACTGTGAGGTCTCAGTCTCGGATAGAGGACATTTGCAAACCGAGGTGTACCGCAAACCCACCCACACAGACCAGTATTTGCAGTTTGACTCCCATCACCCTTTGGAGCACAAGTTAGGAGTCATCAGGACTCTGTATCACAGAGCAGACAGCATCCCCACTAGCTCGGGAGCCAGGCAGAAGGAGAAATCCTACACAAAACAGGCTCTAGAGCAATGTGGATATCCTAACTGGGCCTTCCTGAAAGCAGAGAAGAAACCCAAACAGGACTCCAGTCAGCCAACAGGTGAAAAGGAGGAACCCACACCCAGACCAGTGATCATCCCATATGTTGAGGGAGTATCAGAGAAACTGAGACGTTTATTTTCTAAACATAACGTCCCAGTGGCTTTTAAACCCCAAAATACATTACGGCAAAGACTGGTTCATCCCAAAGATCCAGTCCCCCGGCACAAACAGAGCAATGTTGTGTATGCTGTTCAGTGTCAGGAGGGCTGGGATCAGTCTTACATCGGGGAAACTAAACAGCCACTGGCCAAAAGGATGGACCAGCACAGAAGATCAACATCATCAGGCCAGGACTCTGCGGTCTACACTCATCTCCAGGCCAGCGGTCACTCTTTCAGGGATGAAGATGTGCACATCCTGGACAGAGAGGAACGATGGTTTGAGAGAGGAGTAAAGGAGGCCATCTTTGTGAAAAGAAATCGTCCATCGTTAAACAGGGGTGGAGGCCTCCGGGTTCAACTGTCCCCCTCTTACAATGCTGTGATTGCTAGTATCACTCAGCCCTCTGTGAACAGTAAACAGCCATCAGTGTGCTAATGATCCATTGTTAGGCTGATGGTCCTTCTTGAGCATGTGATCAGCTGGTTTTGGTTGTCAGCAGCAAAACTGGTTGATCCACTCTGAGAAGGTGCTATTTAAGAGACTGAGCTGAAAACAGCACCTCAGACTGAGGAAGTCTCTTGGATGAGAGACGAAACGTTTCTAGAATTTTTTTGCTTTTGTTTGCTTTTGTTTTTTTTGAATGTCCAGAGGACCAGATTGAACTCTTTTGGATTTTTCTACCTGGATTATTGAGCATGCATCAAGATAGTTATTAACGTTATTTATCTAAGGAGTCGTAAAGTATGTGTTGTGTGTAGTTGTGAATCAGTCTTACTACAACACCAAATTTTATCTTTATATTTTTTAAGTTACTAGTATATCATTTGTGTGTAGGCTGTTGATTATGATAACGGCCATCTTGAGTTGAATTGACTAAAATTTAGTAACATGTTGTATATAAAAGTTTCATGAAAATCTATCCGGTGGTTTATATGAAATATTGAGATATTTTGCTAACAGACAAATACACCAACAGCTGAATGCTGTAGTTTTAAGTACAGATGTTGAGCACTGGGATTAAATGTCTACCATATTTTTCATCCTATAAGTCACATTTTTTTTCATAATTTACATGCCCGTGACTTATTCAATTCAAGAATACTTTATTAATCCCAAAGGGAAATTATTTGTTGTTGTAACTCATTATCCTCGTTTCATTAAGAGATGTTATAGATACTGATGGCTGTAGACAGGAAGGATCTCTTTTAAAGATCCATCCCACAGTGGATCCTAAGAAACTGGCTGCAGATGCCGTCCGATCCGTCCACACAGACTCGGCTGGCCTCTCTGTTCCTCCAGGCTGTAGGACCACCCGAATGCTGGGCAGAACTCCTCCCAGAGCGATGGCCACTCCTCCCAGCAATCTGCTGAGCTCCTCGTCGCTGCGGACATCCAACTGTAGGTGCCGAGGGACGATCCTGTCCTTCCGCTGTCATGAGCCATGTTTCCTGCTAGTTCCAGGATCTCAGTGGTCAGGCACTCGAACACAGCTGGCAGGTAGATGAGAATGCGTCCACAGAACATCCTTTTCAACTCATTTGAGATTTGGGGCTGTAGTTGAGATATTATTTAAGCTTTTGAGATGTTAATCAGCTGCTGCTGGTTGTAGAAAACTGCCTTGTTGCCATGGTTACGCATCATAACAAATGTCCAAAACTAAAAAAGTTTCAGTAAAAATCCTTCCAGCTGCACAGCATCTGATACCAGAGGAAACAATCATCCAAAAAAATGTGACTTACATCCAGAAAAAGATGAATTAAAGTTTCCAAAAGCAAAATCTCAGAATGAAAGTTACAGAGCTGACCCAGCATGCAGCCACCTTGAGCGGCGCAATTCTAGAAAAGTTGACGCTGAAGCGACATATTTATGGATTTTTCCCGTATTTATAAACCAAATTTTGGCTGAGATATGACCATTTTCATCCATTCTGACTGAAAATATTGAACACTACCATTTTCAGCCGCTAGATGGCAGTCGAGCAGTA